ACTTTTTGAATTTAAAACTTTGATTTAAGGTTTTTTCTTCTCAAAACTTAGCATTTTTTTATGTTAAATTTCTTATTTGACCTGTTCTATAAATTATTTTCTTTATTAATATTGTCTTGTTTTACACATTAACTATTATATATTATTATTATATTAAACATAAAAATAAACTATTTTTACTTGTTCTTTAATACATTTTTTATACTTTTATATTTTCTTAGTTGTTGAATTTATTATAATTTTTTTATTTTTAAATTAAACTATGAATTCGAAAAGTTGGATTACAATTTTTCATATTTATTACAATTTACAATTCATTTAAACTATAAATTCAAAAAGTTGAGCTTAAAGAGTAGTTTAATTGTTTTTACAAAGTTATTAGTCTGATGGCAAGTTTATATTTTTATTAAAGCATTTGTTTCAAATATGTGCATGCAAATAGGCACAAGGTATTAATACAATTAATTGATTTAAAAAAAGGCACAAGGTATATACAATTAGGTTAAAAAAAAAGTAAAAGTAAAGAAATAGTCATTTTCTACAACTTTTTACTCTGATAGTGATAAAATTCTGTTTATAAAATCAATAATGCACAGTTCATTTAGCACATATAGTTCTTTTAACATACCAGACAAGCTGCTTCTTTAAACTTTTAATTGTTTTTTTAATTATGTTAGACATAATAGTATCAAAAGTTACAAGCCTTAGTTCTAAATATATGCGAGTGAGAATCAAATGTATTTAGAACTTGATACCTTTCATATCCAAAAAACATTTTTGCGCATTTGTTAGCAGTATATTTGTTTTAGAAGGTGTGTTAATTTTCTAATGTTAATAATTTTCTGCAGGGAAACATTATATAAGCATATGCAATGTGATAGAAATAGCTTTACTTCAAGAAGACTTAAATACCTGAAAAAATTATTAACATATATGTTTGAGTATATAGATTTTTTATCTCACTTTTAATATTCATATCGGATAGATCATTTCTTTACAATATAGTTAAGGTATTTAAAGTTGTCAAAAATTCTAGACTGCAGTCTGCTACACTTATTTTTTGAAATGAAAGCAACACAATTATTGTTTTATGTTAAAAAGCCATATAAACCATCTTCTTGGTGTTAAAAGAGATATTATTTAATAAGGTCTTATTATAGTTGAAAACCTCGATGCAAAAACAATATAACTTTACTTTTGGATTATTTTTATATTTGAATGGAATATTACTAATTATAAGATGCTCTAACAGTTGATGTAAAAATAATTTAGAATAAAGCACTCCTTATGCCATTTAACCAGTGGTTAATTTGGAAAAAAGAAGTAAGGGAACTGTAAACAGGATCCTATGCAAGGTCTAGTTTATGGGGAGAGAAAGGGGAGGAGTTCTTGAGGAGGGGACAAGGCCCTTCCCCACCAGTTAGGGGTCTGGGGAGTGCTGTAAGCTCCCCCAGCGAGGTCTTGGGCAAAGCCCCAAACACAAACGCATTTTACATAGTCTTTAGGGTATTTTGTGGCTTCTCATGCATCTAGAATAGGTACTTTCATTTTAATTTTGTCATTATGAAAAATCTTTTTTTATTTTATTTCTATGAACAAATGACCATGTATGCCATTTTTGTCATTTTGTTATTTCTAAATTATAATTTAACAAACAAGGAACAAAGTGCATGTTGCGCCTTGTTCCTTGTTTGTACATATACTACACACTCACTAATACAATTTCCAAACATAGTTTAGTTCCTGCTGTCTAGTATCAATCAAGTCATCACTAGGCTGAGATGATTTTTTACTATTTACATCTGTAGCTAGATGCCTACCTGCTGCAAACCATCTTTTGACATGATTTTGAGGGTTATATTGGTGAAGGAGAGGGCCATTAAGTTTAATAAACAACAAAGCACTTATTGAATTTGTGTTCCTAGCAGGTGTTAAAATTAAATTCATCTGACTGAAACCTCACTCACATTCGGCTGTGCATGCAGGAATTAAGCTAACTAGAGTTTCAGTTCTTGAATTAAAGGAGGTGTAGACTTACTATCCACGTACTCTCAATATGACCATACAAGTGATCTCTCGTCCAACTGGAAGCGACAAGCTAAAGCTTTAATGGAATCACTGCTATAAGCTAAATCCAGCTGCCCATCATGGCCATCAGTGTGGCCAATTTTCAGGATATAAGACTCTAAGTCTTCCAAAAATTCCACATAATTACTTTTCATTGTATCTATGGAAACTTAAGAAACATGGCTGCTTTGTGTTGTTAACAATCTGTTACTTAAATTGTTTTTTAAACTTGCGCAAAACTGTAACGGATTTATTTGAATTTGTCATTTTCTAGAAGTGGTACTGATTTGTAACTTGTTTTTTACTGTAGATGAAGCAATTTGCAAGTAAGTGCCATTGTTAGGAATTGCTTCAAAAACCCTGATTTGTTTCACAATTGCTTTATGGGCTTTGTATAGTTGTAAATCACTTCGTTGTAATTCGAGTGATAGCTCCAACAGCTCTTCAAGGGCATCATACATTAAAGCAAGGTTTAGAAGAAAGTTAGGGGCAGTTAACCGTTTTTGTAAACCTGAACTTTGAAGTGAGGGTACGATTGGCTTATCCTAAAGGAAGTAAGGGATCGCTGTTCCCTTCTATTTAACTAATACTTATGAAATAAGTATTAGTTAAATGGAGGGGAAATAACCACTGCATTTAACTAATACTTATGAAATGTTACTTTGAATGATACTTATTCCCTGCATTCAAAGTTAATAAGTTTTTTCATTTTCCTGAATATTTTGTAAAAATCGAGTGACATTATTTTTACACTGAGGTCTTCAATTGCATTCAATAGTTTCAGTAGAGAGTACCAAGATGAAGCTATAAATACTATGTCATCAGCATAAGCAAGAATATTTTAAAAAATACCACCTATATTGCATCCAATATGCATATTTGAAGTTCTAGAACCAAGTTGTAATATAAAACCTAAACACTGATGATAAAATACCAACTTTGCATATTTTTAATTTAAAGTTTACAATATAAAAGTTTATATAGATGCATTTTTAGCACCACTTTAAAACAAGATATTATATTAGTATAAATATAAATCATTACAAAGATATACAGGAAAAAATAGACCATGTTGTTCATGTTTTGTTATTTGACAGGTCTGTTATCTGACAATGACATTGTTTGTTCTTTAAAACTTGATGGTCCCTGACCCAATTTAAATTCATGTTTTTTAGTCAGTCTGACTTTACTGTTTAACAAAAGTAATGTTGTAGATAGAAGTAAAATATATTTTTGAATGATCTGCATCAAAATCATCTTGTTTTAATTTTTTTGTTTTAGCAATTTACTTTTCACTTTAATTTGTAAAGGTTTACAATACTTTTAACATACCTTCAATAAAAAGCAACTAGATCAAGATTTATTTTTACTTGTTTTTTTTTTTAAACTATATTGAGATTTTGCACTGCATAAAGGTTGTTAAAAAATTTACATGATAACTTTTACTCTGAATACGTTTTTAATGAGCTACTTTTTACTTTTACTTGAGTTAAACTTTATTTAAGTAACAGTACTTTGTAATAAAATTCAAGTATAAAATTTTGTTATTCTCTCATCTCTAACAATAAGAGGCATTTATAATTGATTGTATTAAATACCATTGCAAAAGATTTTACTTAAACATTATAGATAGCTCATTAGCAATGGTTAAGGCAACTTACCTAGAAGAAATTTTTTTTTAATATAAAATCTCAAATATAGTTATGGATAAGAGAAAGAGGCGCTTGGGTGTTAATCTTTCTAGTGGCAGTATCACAATGAAAATCTGTCATGATATGCAAAACAGATCAGACCATCTATTGTAAAAAAATGCTTTAACTGTTACATATTCACATTTAAATAAGTAAATAGTATTAATTAGTTAATGGAATATTATCTAAGGAACCAAGTTGTTAAGTTGAATAATAAGCTAAGAGAATAAAAAGAAGAAAAAAAATAAAGAAAAAGAAAAAAAGACTTTTTGCCTAATAAAAAAAATTTCAAAAACATTTTGGCCTAATTGCTTCTTACAATGTGCTAGATTTACAAGTAAGGTTTAGTATACAGCAGAGGATAGGGCAGACTGCCTTCCTAAATATGCTAAATAACCTTATCATATTATCAAATTATTTGCAACAAAAAAAGATAGCTTATAACCCAAATAGATAAATGATTTCATGAGTTTATACTATATTTTTGTTGCTTTCATCCATTAAAGTTATCTGAAGAAATTATTCATTTATTTAGAAGTTTATATGAAATTCACAGTACCAACATAAAAATTGAAAAAAATATAGTAGAGTATAATACTTTCAAAGATGCGTATGCATCAATGAGCCTATCATTGACCAAGGACCAATGTATGCATCAATGAATCTATTATCATATCATGAGACCAGTATGCATCAATGAGTCAAATAAAGATTCTTTTGATTCTTAAACATCTATTCTTCAGACAAAGATTATCTTTAGTTTTTAAACTAGTAAAAAGTTTTAAAATGGTGAGATGCAAATAAGATGCAACATTTACACTCATATATTCATAATTTTGTATACAAACTTGGACTATCATACTTTTTTATGTTGCACACTCCACACTCTGATATGGTAAATCATATTCCACATTATAAAAGCCTTCAAAGTTATTAATAAAAAATTGTGAAAAACTTTAAATGTTATCATTGAAAAATTATATTAATCAATATATTGTACAAGATTTTATGAATTTATTAAAATAATATAGTTTATTTGATGTATTCATTTGTTTGAGTATTTTTAAATTATATTTGTGTTGTAAATTATGTTAATTGTGTTGTAAAAGTCAAGTTTGATGTTTAATTGAATTTTTAACTCAAGTCACAATTTAAGTAAATAATCTCTTAACACTTTTCAAGCTACAGATTTTCATTTCAGTTTTATTTTGTATTTAACTGTTTTGTAAAACTTTTTTTTAGAGGGCATTGCAAATTCAAAACCTTTTACAATGTTATGTATGTTTCTAGTTGGTTTCAACTTGTGTTTTATTAAATGTAAGTAAATTTACTTTTTTTTATTGTTAATATTTCCAAATTATTAACTGTGTAGTTATATTCAATTTAACATATATAGAGTCATAATTAGATTAATGCAACATTTAAAGGTATATATGATTTTATTTTGTAAAATATTTATACTGAAAGTTTTTACTTTAGACGCAATTTTAGAAATACATTCTTGCATTGTATGTCAAAATTTAACATCCTATGTTTATGAAGAAAGTCATAGTTTGAAACCTTCAAATCTCAAGAATTTATTAAAGCTTTCTCTTCCAAAAGATGTATGTTTGCAACCAGATAAACAAGCTGCATTTAAATTGAAACATTTTGAACAAGTATATGATGATAAAAATTCATGGTTATCATATGTTGCATATTTTTCAAAAAAAGTTAAATCAATATTTTCTGAAGAGTGTCTACTATGTTCAAAGAAAAAAAAGATTTTATCTGTTCATTGCAGTAATCCTTTTTATTCAGACGCTCTAACAAAGTTAATTTATGGTTCTTCAGTTAAATTTAATTTAAAAGATACTATGTGTTATATACCTCAAAGTGCTAAAAACTCTAAAAAAAAGCATTCAAGCATGTTAGTGAATACTTTTGATTTAAATAAAGTAGGTTCAATAGATAGATATTTAAAACAATTGACAAGCAACTCACTAAATTCTTTAAAAACATTGAAAAACAACACATTAAAATGTTTTAAAAAGATAACTGATAGCTCAATAAACAGCAAAAATATAAGATTTACCCCAATATTAAATCATTCTTCTGCATTTGATGTTTGCACAATATCTCAAAACAAAAAAATATCTTATTTAAAAAAGAATAACAAGATGAAACTCATTGACTTCAATTTGACCTCTGATCTAAGTCATTTAAAGAAATCTGCAACAATGAAGGATTATTACATTCATCTAAAAAAATCTGCAACAAGGAAGGATTACATTCATCTACAAAAATCTGCAAGGTTGAATGATTATAAAAATATGATGACAAATTTCAAATTTAAAACTATAAAATTTGAAAAGTTAGATAAAGAAAAATTAAAAGATTCATGCATACCCAATGTTTGTTTTATCAACGAAAGCTGGAGTTGTTTATTAACAGACTTAAAATCTTTTTCTCTACATAATACGTCTTTGTCCTCACTAGTTCACTTTCGCCAAAATAATATATCTTTAAACAATAATATCAGCAACCAAAATATATCTCTATCACATGATATCTACCAAAATAGTTGCATTGATGATAGTATTCCGAAATTCGATTTAAAAAATATAAATGCTGGAATGTTTGTTAAAAATGTATCTCTTCTTAAAAGAAGACTTACATACAAATATATTTATAAATTTATTTCTTGGAATAAAGTTTACATACAAAGAATGAAAAAACACGATAAAAAAGTATTAATTACAGGTTGTTTATTTTGTTTTGTTTTAATGCTAGTAAGATTTTTATTTCATAATGAATAGTTGTTTTGTTTTTTGTAAGTAAAAACATTTATGCTACTAATTAAAAGTATTTTCATAACATTGTTTAATCTAATGATGATCAGTTGCTTGCAATCAATAAGTTTCAATGTTATATTTTATCTTTAGAAAATACCATCAATGTTATATTCTATATTTAGGAGATACCATCAATGTTATATTCTATCTTTAGGTGATACCATCAATGGATTTTTAATTATCTTGCTGCTAAACTTTATTATAACATTTAGGAAAACCAATCCAGCTAAAAAGTAAGTTTGAAGTGCCTTAAAATCAGTAAACATTTTTGCAAATAGTTCTGGTGAATAACTTATCTTTGTAAATTAGCCACAAATCCCTCATTATTGTAAACTTTACATTAGCTAAATTATTATTTTTCAAAAAGAATACTTTTTGTTCTCTTTAAACTTAAAAGTTAACTTTAAATGATAATTTTCTTTACTTCTTGATGACTTTACTTCTTGATGACATTAGATTAGCACAGTACTATTCTTACTTTAATTTTTCATTATAAATTTTTTTGTATTAAAAGGGGTCGTCCATAATTATGTCATGTTTAGGGGGGGGGGGGAATGAGATAGGGATGATACAACATTTTTTTTAGAGAAGACATTCTTTTAATTAAAAGAGTATCTGACCAAACCAAAACCCTCAGTTGATGTATCTACATGTTGATTGTAAAATCAACTATACCTAAATCTTACTTAGTCAATGTGCACACTCCATTAACGGAGTTGTTACAGCCTGTTAGTGAACTGTTATGGGTTTATGTGTAGTGCACGTTCTGCGCTTTCACTTTATATGGCTCAAGTGCAGAACTTTATTTAGTTAGTGCACAAAAGTGTGCAGCAACAAAAAACAATCTTTATGCACTAACTAAAAAAAAGTAATCTCGTACCGAGAAGCGAACCTGGAACCCTCGGTTTATTAGCTGGAGGCAGAATCCACACAGCTACGCTTGCATTGCTATCTGAAAGAAAATTGTATTAATAAAATAATATTTTTGCATGTATAATTTTTTTTTTTTTTTTTTTTTATTTTAATTCACCTCCTCAAGGCCGAGACGGCCACTACAGACGAGGAGGCTACTTATTTGTGGCTATAACCCTCTCTCAACTCTATAACTCCGAAACACGAACCTTGACGAACAAGGCCGCTGCGCGGAGAAACGAGTTGAGCGCGGTACTACCAGGGACGTGGTTGGAATCGAACTCTTCTTAAAAGAAGATTTATTATTATTTATTTTTATTTAATATTTTATTTAATATTTATTATTAATATAATTTATTATTATTTATCATATATTATATATATAATATTTTACATGTATTGTATATCGGAAGAATAGATTTTTAAAATTAGTATAATGTTTAGGGTAACGATGTTAATTTATAAAATTTTACACAGAACTATTGGGGTAAATAAAAAACATTAAGCAAATTGAAAAGTACTAATTAATTAACTCAAAGAAGCTCAGAGAATTTTGTAAAATTTTGCACCCCCCTCCTCCCCTTCCTAAAAAAACTTAAATTTTTTTTTTAGGAGTGGGGGGTACAAAATTGTTGCATAATATTGGGGGGGGGGGGGTCAATAAAGTGTTACGGATATGTTACAAAGGCAGGGGGAGGGGTCAAAAAATGTCAAAAACTGCATGACATAATTTCTGAATGACCTCTAAGTAAGAACATATTTCTTTGTAAAATATTTATATTACGATCTTTTATTATTTTTTCTTTCAGAATCCATGAAACAACATTAGTAGGCAAGTTTGTTGAAAAAAGTTATTACCATGAACAAAAAGCTGAAAAGTTTGAAGAACCTTTACGAAAGTTAGATTGGAGAAAATTCGATTTAGAACTTTTGGTGGCAATAGTTGAAATTAGTAATATAACTCCCAGAGAAAGTTAACCATTCTTTAGTTACTGAAGAGAGTTAACCATCCTTTAGCTCCAGAAGAAAGTTAACCATTCTTTAGCTCATGAAGAGAGTTAACCATCCTTTAGCTCCCAAAGAATCCCAATTAACCATCCTTTAGCTTTTGGAGAATGTTAAGTATTCCTTAGAGAACATCAAACAATCCTCTAAGGGTAGATTAAGAATCAACAATCATGAAAAAAATATTGCAATAATAAACTATAGTATTAAACAAAATATTCTGCACAATATGACAAAAAAACAAAGCAACAACATAGAAAGAATTGTTAGAAAATGTAGAAAGAATTGTTGAAAAATGTTGAAAGAATTGTTACAAAATGTCAAAAAAATTGTTAGAAAATGTTGAAAGAATCGTTAGAAAATGTTGAAAGAATCGTTAGAAAATGTTGAAAGAATCGTTAGAAAATGTAGAAAGAATTGTTGAAAAATGTTGAAAGAATTGTTACAAAATGTTGAAAGAATTGTTACAAAATGTTAAAAGAATTGTTAGAAAATGTTGAAAGAATCGTTAGAAAATGTTGAAAGAATCGTTAGAAAATGTTGAAAGAATCGTTAGAAAATCATTCTAAAAGTAAAATATCTAGAGCAAGTTGGTTTTGTTTTACCAGATTTAACAAGAAATCATGTTTCCATCATTGCATGTTTTCTTTTAAACTTAAAAAAAATTGGCTTGTTTGTTATCAGTAATGGTATTAAACTAAAAATTTTAAATATTACATGAAGATAAATACAATCAAATTGTTGAATTAAAATGCACATATCATAACAGTTTAACCTATCTATTTAAGTTATCAAGGGTGTTTTAAAACAATATATAAAGCTGTTTGTTTGTTGTTTTTTTTTTTTTTTTTTTTTTTTTTTTTTTTGAGCTTTGATTGAGTAGTAATTAAGTTTACTAGGTCTTGGTTTTAGTTTATTTCTAGATCTTGGTTAGAATCTGTATATTTATAAGAACTAAATGTTTAACAAAAAGTAAATATTTTGATGGTTTTATTGCAAAATGCTAGCTATTATAATTCGTTTTTTGAGAATGATTTCTTGTTTTGTAAGTATTTTTTATTTAATCTAAAAATAATTTTTATTTATTTAAAGTCACACATTTCTTGAATCCTAAGCAATGTTTTAGCTTTTTTTTTTTTTTTTAATTTCAAAATACATATTGCTTTTTGGTAGGATGTTTGTTTTTATATATTTTTTAAAATTGTATTAGAATGTGTTATCCTTGCACACAGTTTTAGCAAAAAATAGAAGTTTTTATAGGCTTAAATTATTTCATCTCGTTCCTAAATTGTTTTTGGTTTTTTCTTATGAAAATGGCTTTACGTTGTCAACGACTTTTTTCTAACAGGAAGTTTAACTTTGTAAGTATGTTGTCACCATTTTGCTCTGCTGTTATTGATGTTGTCCACGAACCAAAAAATAATCGGTTTGTGATACATTTAGATAAAGGTTGGTGTTTTTTTTTTTCAAATATTTTTTTTAAAGTTTTTTAATTTATGAGTTTTTAATTTCACATTTATTCTTCATTTAAAAAATCTATTTAGGATAATATCAATTTAAGTCATAATGCCTTTTGATAATTTGGCATCCATTGTTAACCTCTTATAAATTTTGCAAGAATATGGTTTTTTATTTACACCTTTTATTTTTTACTTTTTGGAAAAAAATATTTCTGGCGTTGTTTATACTTTTTGATATTAAATGTGCATATTTTGTAGTATATTTTATTGTTCACACATGATGTATTCTATTCCAATAAATATTTTTTTAGAATATTCCTGTGATATTTATTATGTTGGATAATCTTTTATACAATTGTTTTAAATTTTAAAATTTATAAATGTAAATGTTGTAATAAATGTATATACTGGAATATATGAAGTTTATAGTCATAAATAAGAAAAAAGATTTTTTTACAACAGGTGAATGTGTACTAGATTATTTAATGACCAAAAAAACAATTGATTTGTATCACACAGAAGTACCTGAAGTGTATAGAGGAAAGGGAGTGGCGAAACAGCTAGTTAAGGTTTTTATTTTTTTAATTTTTTTTTTTCAAAATGTATAGGTTCATTAGGTTTTCTAAGATACATCTGTACAGACACTTTCCTTTTAAAAGAGAATCAAAAATAGAAAATAAAATTAAAACAGAACATCGTGTCCTCTTTTAATTCATTCAACTTAGTATTGTAAAGATTTTATGTAGTTTGTTTTTTATGTAGTCAATTTTATAAAGAATAATTAAAGTTAATTCCTGTTTAAGTTAAGTTGAACACCGGTTAACTTAAACTTTTGTAATCTCAAACTGTTTTCTATAGTGTCTTAAAAGCAAAAGCAATTGTTTTACTTCGAATGTTAAGTCAAACATTCGTTTAGTCGAATTGTCTTCTTTGGTCCCTTAGAGGTTCGAGTTAGCAGGAATTTGCACTATATAATTTTCTTTATCTGGTCATGTGATGTTGTAAAGTCTTTGTTATTTTAAAAAACTTTTGCATGGTGTATTTGTATTGTTAGTAATCGTTTGCTTAATGAAAAAGTTCACTTTAAATTTGAGGTTTTAAATTGCTGTTCAGTTGAGTGTTAATTACAAAGTTCAATCAAGCAATTATGTCATATCTATAAATACCATATCTATAAATACCAATCTGTAAGTGACCATTGCTTAATAAATCAGGTTTTAATAAATTTAAATTTTAAATTTAATAAATCATATTGTAAATCAAGAAGTGAATAATATTTGGTGTTAAAGACGGATGTTAGTGTGAAAAATGAATTCTGTGAAGGAACATAATTTCTTTTTCTGAGTTATGATGGTTCAAAGTTCTTCCTTTTTTAAATTATTATTGACTTAAGTAAAAGATGTTGAATAATTCTTATTTGAGATTTTAAATTTTCTAACGCTTCGTTTAATAGTTTCCTTTGGCTCATTTTAGTTTAAATTTATTTTAGTTTAGATTTATTTTTATTTTAGTTAAGATTTATTTTTATTTTAGTTTGCTTTTTGATTGAGATGTAATCATAGCAATTTGCTTGAATCCTTTTGTTTATCCTTTTTGATATTTTGGATAAACTTAAAATAATATGATGAAACAAAAATTGTTTTTTAGAAATCTGATGTTTAATCAAGCTTGTTTATTTTAATTGCTTTTAATTGCTTCTTTAGTTTTACTAAAATACGCACAATTTGTGCCGAGTGCTTGCACAATTGACCTTGTATCGAATGCTTGCACAATTGACCTTGTGTCGAGTGCTTGCACCATTGACCTTGCGTCGAGAGCTTGCACAATTGACCTTGTGTCAAGTGCTTGCACAATTGACCCTGCTTGTGATGAGTTTGCTTATAAAGTTTAAAATAATTTTTGCCTCAAAGATTTATTAAATTTTATTTCAAGTTTTCTTACAATTCTAGGTTTTAGTTATGATTTTAACATTTCAAAGTATTTTTTCTGGTAATGTATTAGATAAATATTTTTGTTTTAGACTTTAAGTTTGAATCTTTGATTGTAGGTGTAGGTTTTTGTGTACTTTATAAAGAGAGAAGTAGTTTTATGTGTATTTTATAAAGAGAGAAGTAGTTTTATGTGTAGTTTATGTAGCTGGGAAATATTAAGTTTTGTAAATTCTGCAGTGGACTGAGCATAGAAAGTGTTATCAAATAACTGATCAAAGAAATACCGCAATTGATCAGACTATCTATTTCTTGCGACTAATTTAACTTTAAAAAGTTTATGATATATTGATATTTGTAAGAAATGAAAACCTATTTTGTTTTTAATTTTAGGAAGCTATTAAATACGCGAGAGAAAATTCGTTAAAAGTTATACCTACGTGTGAATACGTTCAAAAGTATCTTAATGAAAATCCTATCGCCGAATAAATAACCTTAAAGAAAATTCTTGTCGTCAAATAAAAAACTTTCTTAACAAAAACTTTATTTATTAATATTTACAGTGTTATTATTTAAACTATTGTATGAAGTGAAGTGCTTGAAAATTCTTATACTTTTTGTATAGTAATCATTCTAAATAACGAACATTTTTGCCAAAACTAATTTATAACTTATTTTTTATTAGTATCATCATCCATTTTTGTGGTTTCTTGGACCATTACTTTTAGCTGACCACTTGGTCGAACATGAACAAACACTTTACCCCACATTTTATCGCGTTTAAGTTGTTCCATAGCCATAGCAACTGCTCTTGCTACGTTGGCAGGTACGGTATCCATGTTAAGTTTTTCTTTTGGATGATCTATTTTTTCTCTAGTTGTTGCTTTTACATCCTGTAACTGCAGCATTGAATTTTTATGCGTTTTGGTGTTTTTAGAATTTTCTAGTCTCAACGTTATTGGTTTTGTATTTTTTACTATTTGTTCATCGCCTAAAACTCCATCTTTGCTTTTCTTTATTTTAAGCTCTGCATTTTTTTTTTCAAGCGATTCTTTGTTTTCTAATGCGCTAGTATGTTTGTTGCTATCTTTAACGACAGGATCTTTTTTCTTGTTTACTTGAACTTTTCCATTGGCTTTAGAGTTGCGTTGTTTATTAAGAAAATCTGATATGATATCTCGTTTTTCTCGATCATATAAACTTTCTGCTGTACTTTTCGTTTCTTTTTCATAAATTACATTATCGTCATGGTGATAATTATCAGTAGATGAAACTATTTTAAAATCCTGGTTTGATCTTCTTTGACGGTGTTTTTTATTTTCGAAATTTTCTTCTTTTAAAGTATTATTGTGCAATTTTGAATTAATAACAAATCTTGCAAAATTTGCTTTTTTATAAGTTTCTGGGTTTTTTGCAATATTATTTCTTTTTACTCCGTTATTTGCAATTTGCTTTGAATGAGGAACACTTGCTTCAGATTTTAGACTCGACTCTTCTTCATCTAAAAAACTTTTATAATTAAAGTCCAGCTTTACTTTCTCTGGATCTTCGTACCAATCTACTTCATTTGATGTGAAATCAGGTTGAAGTTCCCAGTGATGGCTTCGTTTAGTATCGAGATTTTCCAAATCTTTAAACTTTCTTCCAATGTGTTTAGAAATGTGATGCGAGGGTATTTCCCACTTCTTAAGTACCGGCAAATCACTTAGTTTAAGACAATTATGCACTAGAAATTGTGTTAAAAATATAAAAATCATCATAAATCATATGGATTAGTGATGCAATCTTATCAGTAAGTTTACACTAATACGATTATATAAATTAAAAATATATATATATATATACTTACGAGATACCGCAACAGCTAAAACGATTACGTGAACGCCAATCATATTTATTTTTTTTCTAAATTAAATAATTGTTTAATGTAATTAGAATACATTTATATTAATGTAATAAGAAATGTTTTATAAATAAAACATTTCTAATTACATTTTAAATTTGTAGTTATGCTAAAAACGGTACTTAAAAAGTGCTTCCCCAGAGGGCAAATCTGGTATCAATTGCGCTTAATCTGATAATAATAAACGCGTGTTTAATAGCAGATGTGGTGGCTGGGTTGGGTCACTTACTCGACGTGTGCAACTTGCTTTGATGAGTTAATTGACAAAATAAAACTTTTTTTATTTAGTTATTCAAAGTTAAATTAAAAAAGATTTACAAGTATAAGATTTACAAAGTATGCTTAAAACATTACTTTCTCAACAGGGTAGAGTGGGGCATAACGAGACAGTGGGTCATAACGGAACCGTTACGCCTGAAGACTAATATCTTAGCCGAAATTTTTTTTTTTTTATAGCTAAGATACTAGTCTTTTTTTTATTATGATTTTTTTTTAATTTAACATTTTAAAATAATGTTTATTTAAAAAAAAAATTGTTCTAGAGTACCAAAATGCATCAGTAAGAGAAAGAAAAAAAATTTCGCATTTTCTTAAGCGATACAACGAAAAAAGATTTGTTTTAAATTATTGCTAATTCGCTTTATTTATTAAAAAATTATATTTATAATACGTTTTTTTTATCCTCTTTTAGAATCTAGTTTTTAAAAAAATCTCTGGTATTGAACATTTTGAATAGTATTAATTTCAGTAAATTGACTTATAAGGGGCAAATCGGGACAACAAGTCATTTATATAAATAACTGTTTTACTATCATTATTTGATGCTGTTTACAATGTAATGATTTTATTTTTAATCTAAAATGTTATTTAGAAAAGTAATATTAGTAATAAATTCAGAGAAATTATTAATTTTATTACTTAATTTCAATTATAAATAGTATTTACGAGATGGTTTCATTCTATTACCATAATTAATATATGTCTTCCTTTTATGATAAGAATATTTAACCAGAAAATAGTGAATGTTTTGTATGTGATTAGTGGTGGAATGATGCCAGAAGCAGATATGATTGGTTTAAATTTGACTATAAATCTTAAGTAACATTGACCAATTTTATAATACACATATTTTTTAATATATATCACTTTAGTATTACTTATTTTTTAATATTTACTTAAGTTTGTTTGTTTAAGAGGATTTTATAATAACACAAATAGTTACTTTATTGTAGTTATTGTTTTCTTGTGATGTATGGGTGTACTTTAGTGGGTGTGATGTATGGGTGTACTTTAGTGGGTGTGATGTATGGGTGTACAAGTGTGTAGTTTATATAGGTATATTATTTTTTTGAGAGTTTAAAGTTTGAACATGTTTATATAATAAAAAAAACCTTTGTTTTTTCATTTTTAAAGCTTTACAGTTGACGTGTAACTGCTGTCCCACTTGCATAGTATAAAAAATTTTCTACTCTAGAATTTTGTTGTCGTAACTTATTTTTATAATTTTTTTTTTTTTTTTTTGGTTATCTTATATCTATAGACTTTAAGGATTTTATTAAAAAAATGTTACTTATTTATCCATCCGTGTTTCATAAGTGTCTCTATATGCCCCGCTCTACCCTACATAGAATTTGAGCTATTTTTGTATAAACTTTAGTATGCATGCAAATTATTTTTAAAGTTTGTATGTGAACTAGTAAAAACTTATAAACATTTTTAGATCTATAATGGCAGCTACACACAATTAGGCAGCCATGGTGCAGTGATATGAGCGTTTGCTTTAGAAGCAAAATGTCCAAGGTTTAATACAAGCTTTGTGCCCCAAGAAGACCTTGTTAACGGTCTTGTTACAGAGCGGAAGAGCATTTAACTAGGAAGCCTCCTTCCTTACCAATGGCGCGAAATATATCCTAAGCTCGCTTTGAACCCTGGATCTTCTGCTTCTAAACCAAACTCTCTAATCAATGCGGCACGGCTGCTGCCTTTTTTTTACGTTATCGATAAGAATGGAGATGTAAACTTTCGAGTTATTTGAAAAGACTCGAGTTCTTACTTATTATTGTTTGTTCATAAATTAAAAGTTTTCAAGAGTTTTTCAAGATTGCATCGAGAGGTGCAAAATTATGGAGTTTTTCAAGATTGCATCGAGAGGTGCAAAATTATGGAGTTTTAAATATTGATCTTATCAAAAGTAGTTTCTATTTCAATTTTTATCAGAAGTAACTTTGTGGTTTGATGTTTTTAAAATAAATTTGTTACTTTTTATATTTATTTATAGTTTATTCAGCATGTATTAAGATTCAAAACAATTTAAAATTTAGCGGGGTTAGTCGGAGCACGGGATTAGTTGAAACTATGAACTTTTACACCTAGCAGTTTATTAATACAAACAAGTTTCAAAGGTTTGGAAAAACTAACATACTTACTATTTCGTCGTTGGATAAAAAAAAAAATAGTAAAAATTAAAAAAATAGTAAAAATTAAATTTTTGCTCAAGATTTTAGAGAGAATTTTTTCAATTTCAAAATCAAAAAGTTTTTTAGCATGTGATTTTAGTCATTTAACTTTTTTCACGTTGTTGACAGCGGCTTGTTCTTTATTTCGCTCCCTCACGTCGTTGACAGCGGCGTGTTCTTTATTAATTTTGACCAACAAACGTTTATTGATTTAGTAAAAAAAAAATAGTTTCTAACTCTTTCCAGAAACAAAGTATCAAAAAGAAAAAAAAAGTGCATAAAAAGTGTCGGAAGTACATACACAAATTACACCAAAAAAAGTCTGTGCTGTAAAAGACTGAGTTATTAAAAGGAAACACGAGACAAAAAAAACAACATAAAAACAGTAAGCAATTATCCTAATCGCTCAACAACATTACCTTCTTACATCATTAGCCCTTTGTCTTTAAGTGTAGTTTATTTGGAATTGTTTATTGTTTGCATTTGTTTTATTGGTAACATTTTATTATTTGATATTTATAAAATTAATTTCTTAAAACACAAGAAATTATTTCAAAAAGAAGTTCAAGATTAAATCAATCAATTTCAAGATATTGAAAATGAAGCAAGGACCAAACTGGACATAAAATTGAAGCAAGGACCGAACTGCCTTGCGCAGACTATAAATATGAAACTACAAGAAAAAGAATTAAGAAAAAGAAAGTGAACGATGGACAAGTGCAAGATATTGATGAAGATAGACAATTGTCACCTAGAGACAAGTTTTTAAAAAATTTGTTTTTACCAATTCTAGATGCTCTTTAAACTAACCTAATGAGATGATCAAAATATATGAAATCATTTCAAAAAAGTTTTAATTTTTAGTAAATTTAAATATTGCAGAAGATAAAACTGTTAAATATATGACATTACTTATAGAGCAATATCTAGAAGATGTTGATTCAAATCTTGTCTTTGAAGTTAAATAATTTCATTAAATTTCAGAAAAAGTTATGCAAAAAAAACAAATAAAAAAATATAAATCTTTTAGAGAAGCATTATATTGCATCATATTTCATCATATCATATTTCATCGTCATCATATTTCATCATCATCATCATATTTCATCATCATCATCGTATTTCATCATCATACTTCATAATTCACATATTTCGCCATCAACATATTTCATCATCATCGACATATTTCATCGTCAACATATTTCAGTACAAAATAGATATAATGTTCCCTAACATTGAAACTATTTTACGACTCTGATTTATTCTAATGATAACAAATTGTTCAAGAAAAAAAATCATTTTCTCGTTTAAAACTCTTTAAAAAAAAATTAAAAACAAGTATTTTTTTAAATTTGTTTTTATGAGTTTTAAACAAGAAAATGTTATTATCATTTACTGTATTATGCATTAAAAGGGATAAACTACGTACTTTATCTTTATTTTACGTACGTTGACATAATAGATAAGTTTGCTCTAAAAACATTTTGACAAAAATTATTTTAATAATTTTTAATTAAAGTACATAAAGGTCTCTGATAATGGCTTTTAGTAATACTTAAGCATATTTAATTATTCAGTATGCTGATGCATGAAAAATATAATTTCTAAGCTTAGATATAGATATCAATAAATGGTTTAGCTTGATTCATTTTTTCTTTACTGATAAATATATTAAATCACTGAAGATTGTATTGTTCAATTAAAAATAGGTAAATTCTTTATAATTATAAAACTGTGCCTGCAAATATTTCCCACTGTCCCTGATTGCCTAAGGATTTATATGAACTAAATGCGGCCCTCGGGATTGGTAATTAGTTTTAAATGAACATTTGAAACAAAAACTCATTAAAAAGGATCTTTTTAAAATTCAGAATAAAGAAGTGGCATTTCTAAAAAACGATTTTTATCTTGTGACTGGTTTTACAAAAAAAAAAAAGGCTTTTTCATTATTAAACGATCAATTTACCTTTTTTAATGAAACAAAAAAATCCTACGTTAAATTTGAGAGTCTATAGGAAAGATATTATTATTACTGGTAGCTTAGAAAATTCTGTTTCTTTTAGCCAAACTGGAGTTTTATCTCTTATAGACCATCATGTTTCTTTAAAAAACTATAACTCATGCTTATGGTTGCTCTAGATACAAAGTGGATTGAGCCAGAGTGGTTTGTTGCAAGTGGTTGCAATTGGTTTGCAAGTTTGGCTGCAATTCTGGAATACTGGAAACTACGCTTTTGCTACGCAAAGTATGCAGATGCAAAGATGTAAGTCAACATATTGCTAACGTCAAAGAGACACTTATTGCAAAAACAACCCTTATGGTTTAATAGCTCTCAAATTTACAATACAAAATGAGTTATTAACCCTGCTCTGTCATTACGTTTGGATGTTTATTTTGGATTACATTAGGAAGAAAAAAATTACACTATTAATTGATTGCACACATATATTCTACATTAACCACCTGTCTCAAGTAATCAAATATGTTATCAAATTAAGTTATCAGACATGTGTATATTGAAAATAGTTAGTATTTGAGTGTTTCTTTGGTTTCATTGAATTAATCGGAAAAAAAGACAGCAGATATTACCACTCAAATTGTCAATAAACTTGCAGCAGATAAGCTAAAAATAGGAAATTGTTATGATTAAATTTACTGACAATGTTGCTACACTTGCTAGACAAAGTTAAAACAATGAAGCTACACTTGCTGGACATGTAATCGGAGTCCAAAGAATCTTTGAAATCAAACATGAAGCCTATTTTATACCATACCATTAACTGAATCTTGCTGGTTTACATGCAGAAGGTGGTACACAGTCGATAATTTTTTAACAACAAATGTATTAGGACCTAGTTATGGATGAGGTTGGTGGTACACAAGTGTAAGGTGGTTAAGGTGGTATACAGTTGATAGTTATGTAATATAAATAATAAGGTGGTACACAGTCTTATTAAATAATGATGTGGTACCCAGTCGATAATACACAGGTGTAAGGTAATTAAGGTGGTATTGTCGATAATTTTTTAACAATAAATGTATTAGTAGCTTGTTGTGAAGTTTCTCAGAGTTAACAAAAATTCTTTTACATTCAATTAAAAAGCTAAGGCTATTTATCTAGTTTAACCATTTTATAAAACATAAAACTTTCTTCTAAAACTTTGATAAACTTTTGGCATTTCAGCGGTGCACTAAAGCTAAAAAATCTGTAGGTCTTAAGGTGGTTTCACAGGAAATATTAGGTGTAAAATCAAAAAAATATCTATTTGAAATATATCTTTTTAGATAATATAAGCATTGCTGGAAATAATGGTATATATATATATATATATATATATATATATATATATATATATATATATATATATATATATATATATATATATATATATATATATATATATATATATATATATATATATATATATATATATATATATCATATATATATATATATATATATATATATATATATATATATATATATATATATATATATATATATATATATATATATATATATATATATATATATATATATATATATATATATATATATATATATATATATTTTAAAATGATTTCAGTTTTTCCAGCTTTTGTTTGGGCTTTTTGCTGGTATGGTATAAATTAGCTTCCTTAGCAACGCCCATAGCAACGAAACAAAGCAGTATGAGAACCTATTTTTGTTTACTGTTTTAGTAAGCCTTCTTATCTGTATTTACTAATTTACTAGTTTAGAGCCTCTAATTACTAGTTTTATTATTTTTATTTCTAAATTACTAGTTTTATTATAGTATTATTATTTTAGTTTAGAGCCTCTAAATTACTAGTTTCGAGCCTCTAAACTAAAATATGTGGCATTATTAAAAATAAATCCGTTTTACTTACTAAAATGACATCATTTTAAAATTCATTTGATTACTTACTTTTTGTGTTAGTTATATGTTGTCTAGAAATATTTGTGCATTTTTCTTTTAGATTTACAATTAAGTATATAATGGGTAATTACAAGATTAATGCATCATTATTCATCAAGTATTTATTGTGTATTTAAACATTTAAATCTAGATTTAGAAATAAATATGATAACCTGTTCTGTAAAAAAAGACAAAAAACGGTTGCACAATATGATAAAAAAAGAACAACAACAAAAATAAAAATAAAAAGAAAAGAAAAAGAAAAGAGTTAAGAGGAATTAGGAAAAGTTGGATTGATAAAGAACTAGTTATCAAAAAAAAAGTTAAAAGAAGTTTTTAGAATATTTTATTGTTATTTGTTTAATATCTAAAAATGAAGGTTTTATTATAATTTATTAATTTAAAACATGATATCTCTATATTAAAAAATGCTTAGACCTCCAAATTTTCCCTAATTGCTTAATACATATATATGTAAAGTATGAACTAAAATCCTAATGATTTATTAATATTTGTTGAGTTTTGAATCTTTTCTTAAATGTTGCCCCCTTGAATTTAGTCAATTTTTATATTTTCTGGGACTTCAATGAAAAGTTTTTGTTTTTTTGTAATGATCCTAGTTCATACTCTACCTTCTACATCAGAAAATAAAGTATTGAGTTGAGTTAGTTAGCCAATCTGGAATAATCATGAAAAATTTTGAAAAATTTAGAAAATCTAGCTTTTTTGTGTGTTTTTTTGACAATATTGTCTTTTTTTTTTCTTTTTTTTTAATGAACCTGAATTTTTTTAATTTTGTTCATTAAATCAAATTTAAAAAAATTGATTTTAAAATTAAATTAGGTTATTTTATTAAAAAAATTATTTCACTACACATTAACCACCATTTTTAAATTTTCCGGATCAATTACTAAACAATAACCACTTAAAGTTGAAAGTATCAAAACATATTCAATACATAAGTTGTATGGTAACTAGATATTTCAATATCTGTATCAATATCTGAAAGTACTGTGTAGTTCTAAATATTTATATGAGTAAATATACAAGATCAATAAAACTACAGCTACATTATATTTTATTTTATTTATACGCATCTACATATTATATAATATATTAGTGCAAAACACAAAACTCACACAAAACACAAAATTCACTATCACAAGATTTAAAACAGTAAAGAATTTAAAGAGCTCTATAATGTCTTAATCGTGATTTGCAAACTTTAATTACTACAACATAAAAAATAGAGGTAAAAAATAAAGAAGCATAAATAAGCGCAAACTGGGCAAAGTATGTATAAATAGTGCAATTTTAAAGATGTGACATTTTATAGATGTATGGGGTACTGTAACTACAACCTACTGCAAATATGTTTTTATGAAATGCTTTTATTCCGAGATTTTAACTTCCCTCAATATTGAAAATTTTTTTCTATCATTTTATTCTAACTGCCATACTGTACCAAAGTAAGTTTTTAAATTTTATTGGTATTTTTAACATTTACTAAACTTTTAAAAAATATATAAAAACAATAAAACAGCTCAAAAAAAGTATCAAATTTGTTTTTTTAAATTATTATTTTAACTTACCAAAATTAACCAATTGCATTTTTGTTAGTAGACATTTATTTTGCCACAGCGTCTTCTTTCCGTTACCAAAGTTAAAGCAAGCGTTTGAGCACCCATGCGTGAATTTAGTTCACAGTAGTAAAAACATGCTTTTTGTAAACAAATAAATAACTTTAAAAAACTTCCAACTTTCTGTTTAATGTCGTTACCCTCCTTAATTCGGAAAACAAATAAAATAAATTTTAAGATGGTACCCCCAAAAAAAAAATTCATTGAAATTTTTTTATATTTTAATTTTTAAAATTTCATTCAAAAGTTATTTGGCCGTTTTTAGTTCAATATCTACCCGGTGGGAAATAGACTAGCGATTAGCTAGTGATGTTTGTAACGATAACGACAGCGATTTGGCCTAAAAGATTGCTAGACATAAGCTAACTGTGTAGGGACAATTGGTTAAGATAAGAATAGCAACTTGACAACAAGGATTGCTAGAAAAGTAGCAAAAAATCGGATTCTATTTATACATATTGCTTAGACATAGTTATGAATATTTTGCAGTGTAAAACGTAAATTAATTTTCGATTTTCCTATTAATAAAATGCAAGTTAGAAGATATCATGTTAAAATTTAAAAAAATATTATAGCATACAACAAAATTAGTTGTTTTTTATAGTTACAATAAAATAGTATTTTATTCATCAAAGTATTAAAAGTAATCTTTTCATATAAACTTTTGCTAAAAATATATATATATATATATTTTTTGCAGATAATTTTCTTAAATGTTTTCTGTTTGTTGAACAATATTTTAATAATAAATTTTTAATAATTATTGGCTAAGCAAGAAATTTGATAGGGGCACGTTTAACCTGGAGAATCCATTTTAGAGCATTTCCCATATAATAAATATATAAGTTCAAATACTAAAAATCGATTTTTTTAAAAGAAGTTAAAGGAAAAAATAAAACAATAATCTGAGGAAAAAAATCGCATAAAAGTTGCTTTAAAGCAAACTTGTCGCTAGCTTATTTCACACCAGGTACACAGGTAACGTTCAAGTACGTTTGACGGACGTTGCGAACGTTCGAGCACGTTCTATGAACGTTCATAGAATGTTCTTGAACTTTCGCAACGTTCGTTGAACGTTTTGTACTAGCTGGGTCATTAATATTTACCACCAGGTATTACATTGTTATTAAATTGAAAAAGTCATTGAATTTATATTGAGCATATTTAAACTCTTTAAAAGAAACAAATTATTCTAAATTTTAGCAAAAACAATAACCAATACATCGGTTCATAGAAATCGAGTGTCAAAATATAATACAGTTGCCAAGTAAGCTACTTCATTTAAAGACAGTGAAGAGACGATTACTGTTCATGACGCTTCAAATCCTGACTTAAATACATTTAAGTATCAACAAAAAAAAACAAATTCTTATTGACTAAACAACAAACTCATTCAAATATGAGATAAAGGAATATTCAAATAGCAAAATAAAAAAATTTTTCGGGTTGTTTAACCATGAAGTTTTTTATTCTAGCCATATATACAACTGTTTAACAGTTTTGTCTTTGCACTCATAGTTTGCTACTTAGATTTATTGCTATTCTTATTATAAAAATAAATTTCGCTTTACTTAAAAATTATTTGTATACAAAAACTGATCCTTTGACAAAAAGGGAAACCATAAACATGAATTCAAAAATATAAAAAATATGAAAAGATGTATTTAAGAAAAACCCTCCCATATAGACAGACATACCAAAGTTCTTAAAATCAAATAAAGTACTGTTACTGCTTCAAAAAGCCACTATGCTTTAATGAAGTGGTTCTTAGCAATAAACCAATTTCGTTTGTTTATGTTTGTTTGGTTACCGTGTTACGGTATTCAATCAAAAATATAAAAATAATATGTTATAATATATTATTATTATGTTATAATATATTATTAACAAATTAAAAAATGAAAAACCAATTTTTAAGAGTTAAGTTAAAAAAAGCTTTACAAAACTTTTATCTAACAAAAAGACATTACATTACAATTACATTAAAAAACTTTTCTATGCTTTATCAACAGTCATTCTGGGTAACTTTGAATTTGCGGGTAACATTGAATAAAACGTGTAAATATTTTTTAATTTTTTTTAATTGGTATTTTCTTTGCCTGTTGCTTTAACAAAAGATAAGATGATAAATTATCCTTTTTTACAAAATTTTGACCAAAAATAATTGAATTTTGTTTCTCAAAAATAATATTTCCCTCGATTTCCAGTTACACAGTCGAATGTGGGGATAATATCGTATGTCGTCAATTTAGAATATTTGTTACTATATTGTAAATATCAGAATAGATTTCTTTTATTGAATTATTTTTCGAATTTTAATACTAACTCAAAATAATAGGAAATAACATGTTTTTTGCTTCTAAAAGGATATTTATTTTTACTTAGCTAAAATATAACCCAATTCAAGGTAACTTTGAATAATCAATGTTTCCTAAAAGTGCTTTTTTTGCTGTCTATATATATATATATATATATATATATATATATATATATATATATATATATATATATATATATATATATATATATATATATATATATAATATATATATATATATATATATATATATATATATATATATATATATATATATATATATATATATATATATATATATATATATATATATATATATATATATATATATATATATATATATATATATATATATATATATATATATATATATATATATATATATATATATATATATATATATATATATATATATATATATATATATATATATGAAGGCCTCAACAGAAGAACGATCAGAGTCACACTTTTGCTGTTTTGAGAAAATCAGTTTCTAAGATTTAAAACACCATCATGTAGTTCAACGAATTAAAATCACCCCAAAAATCATTTTATTTTATAAAACATTTATTTCTCAATATAGCAATTCAAAGTTTTATGTGAAAATATTAGTTTATATGCTTGATATTGATAGTGTATGAGGGAAACTGCTGTTTGGACTTAGATCGTTTTTCCGTTGCATCGCACTAATACATGCCAAAATATTCCACAGGTTTGTTCCTTGAGACTTATTCTCATAACAGGTTTTCCTAATTGATTACTACACATACCAAAGATAGCAAAATCGAAACGCACTAAAATAATGCTTAACAATAATAGTATTATTTAATGAGTTTTAAAAGGACAAGATGTTTTGTAGAGTATCATTCTTGTTTTGCCTTGCACACCCATCACAGAACAAATCCAGTCTTGTCTAAAGGTAGAAATATACATCATTTGATGACAGCACGTGGACATTAAACGAGACACAGGTCAGTTGACGCTTGTAATAAACATTGTTAAAAGTTTTGTTGGGAGTGCATAAATTTTTCTGAAAATGGAAAACGACTGCCTCTGTAGAACTATCTATCTGGGCAAGCACTTTTGCCTTGCGTTATCTTTTGTAGCTTTTCTTTAATAAAGTTCCAATTCTTGCTTCATTCTGTCACTTTCTGGGTTGTTTTCTGACTCTGCATGTATCATCTTCTGCTTCAGCTCATCACAGACATTACATGTATCTTTTCTTGGATATCCGTATCCAATATTAAATGTAGTGTTGAAGATATGTCTATATCTTTCATAAGAAATTTCACGTGCAGGGCAAGTGTTTACAAACATTTTATGCATCTTTGCAACATTCAACTCCTCTGGCAAGTATATTTTTTCTTGTAGCACCCATGGCATAGTGTGACTTTCTACCACGGAAGGACCGGATATGGTCAATCACTGCTTGCAACTCTTCTGGCTTTAGTTGATGAGATTGATTTGAATGTCTCCCTCTCATGTCTACAGGTGGACTTCCAGTGATAAACAGATAAACCAACAATATTTAAAATGTATTATTATTTGTAAAATTAACACAGCATTAGCCTACATAATTTTTGTTTTTAAGTTACAGTTTAAAAAAAAAGTAAACGAGTAACTAATTACTAAGCATTATTTTACAACCCTTGCGTCATATTGATTTATAACAAATAAAATGAAACTTACTAGTCTTTGACGGAGTAGACTTTATAGTTTGAATCCTTCTGTTTGTAATTCCAAATAGAGCTATGAATGCTTTGTGACACACTCTTGTTTCAAATGGAACACCAGTTCGAATAAATCGGACCTTGTACTCGTGGGAGTACAAGGTCCAACATAGAGAAGTCCCTGAATTTGGCATACTCTTCATCTTTGCGAAGTCGTCACCTCTCCACTGCTTTCACCTTTAAATAAATATTAGTTCACTTATTTTCAAGAATCAAGAGCAATAAGTGTGCAGTATTTTTTTTACTTGATGTTATTATTATTTTGTAGGATGTTTACAAAACTGATGCCAGATAACTAAGATAAGGCATTCCTTTAGCTCAACATTTAATATTTTTCATATGACAAACTATGTTTAACCTGTTATGACAGCATTATTAATTTTAATTAGTTTTAAAATGGCTCGTAAACACAGCCACAACATAGATAAAAGTGTATTAAATAAATAAACAAAGTCAAATACGATAAAAGAAAGTTTACCTTTTAACCAAAAAGGATAACATTTATACCAAATTTAATTTAGAGTAATGTAGAAAGTTTACAGTACACGTAAGCTATAGCACGATGTCGCTGATAAAATAAATCAGCCTGAGATGGAGCGTGCCTGTGTTGATTATTGAATTTATATTCATACTATTTTACAGGATCCTAGAATAGTCATAATCTAGAATATGGAAGATATGCCAGTGCTGCTGTAAACTCCCCAAAAAAAAACAAAATAGTTTTCTATGCTATACAGAAATTCTATACACTAGTAAATTTATTACCATTGACCCAATTATTTTTACCGTGACCTAATACACATTAATGAATCAATAAAACAGCTGAGAATGCTCCACACACGTCAAAGATAATTTGACTTACATAACAAAGTTTAATGTTAAATTACTCAAAAAAATTTCTCTTGAACAAAAATACTAGCCAACCTTTTTCTTATTCTAAGCATGAATAGCATTTTAAAGAGAGAGAGGGAGAGAGAGAGGGAGAGAGAGAGAGAAAGAGCC